TGCCTGATACTTGGAGTTTCTTTTAAGAGGTGTTGCATCATATGAGGAGGTTCACGTGTTTTACAGCCTCACGAGCGACAAGAACTGGACTGTTGTTGCTGTAACCGTGGGCCTGTATTGCAACATGCTGAGGGGAGGGTTGCAAACATCTCAAAGCGTCTTGTAGCCCTGGTTTCCTTGGTGTTTAAACAGTGTTTCAAGATGAATCAACTCAAAATGCCTGGAATGGAAAAGCAATGGAAATACCTGTAGCCATTCTGAGAAAAGTGTTAGGCTGGTGTGTATCTGTAGGAGGGAGCACTTCATAATAAAGAGCCATGCGAGTTTTCACATGGTTGAAAGCCTGCTAGGTGTGTACCTCCAGATCGGATATTACCTGTTTTTACTAGTAAGTGAAGCTTTTGATTAAAAAGGAGCCTAGTGTTAGTGTGTTCTGTTCATCTGGAGCTTGCACGTTCCCCGAGTTGCACCTCAGTGTGTACACTGCAAAGCTTTTTCTTCTCCTTTCCCCTTCCTGCAAAACGTTTGATTAAAAAGGAGCCTAGTGTTAGTTGTTCTGTTCATCTGGAGCTTGCACGTGCCCCGAGTTGCACCTCAGTGTGTACGCTGCAAAGCTTTTGCTTCTCCTTTCCCCTTCCTGCAAAACAGGGCAGAAAATTGGCCTCTGCAGGCTTCAAAGCAAGGTTTAGATACTGCCTCTGAAACTGAGGCTACGAAGGACTTTTAAAAAAAAAATCAAATCAAAACTGTATTGAAATGATCCACCTCTGGCTTTCTTAGACATTTGCAATATAATATCTTTTTTGTTTGTTTGATATTATTCATACAGAAACTTTAAAAACAGCTTCCTCTTCTACTACTATTTCCCGGCAGTTTGCTCTAAAGTTTCTATCTTTTTTTTGCACTAGTATTCGGGGTGTTTCAAAAACTCCAGCTATATTTGGCAGCGCATCACTCTGTGTTACAGAGAAGTGATTACTCAAGGGATTTGACAGAAATTAAATTAACTAAGGTCCTTAGCAATCATACTCAGAATGTTATTTGTGCACTTACTCTTTCACGTGTATTGGACTTATCACTGTCTAAAGCAGAACAAATGCTGAAGTGATAAACAAACTAATTTTCTAGGTTGCTAAGTAACTGAAGTGCACCCTGTAATGTGGAAATATTCATGAGATCAAGAAAATAGGGCAATATTTACTGTCCTGAACTAAAGATGGTGCGGAAGCTCACTCTGTAATAATTAAAATACATTTTTATTTGGCTGTGTGAACGGAAGGATTCCCTTGATCACAGTGTTCTAGATAGAAGGAAGAGTGGTTTTAGTGAAAAGCCTTATCACACTTCTGCTTGTTAAAGTATGAGGATATGGTGGGACCGGAATTCCGTAGCTGCCTAGCAAGGAAGTGAGCACTTGAAGATTTCCAGACATTTCTGTTTTGGAGAATTTTTCTCTTTTGTGATGGAGAGAGGCACCAAGAGAGGGGCACTGCTTGAGGCCTCGGTTTCAAGTGTGTGCTCTAAGTTACTGGCAACAAAAGCTTCAGGTTCCAGAGTGCCAGAACAGTAACAGAATGGGAGTGGATTATGTGAATTTATCTTTTTAAGAAATCTAAAAGCTGTCTGTTGTCCAAATAAGCCAGTTTTCCTCTTTTCCCTTCAACTTATGTTTTTTTCCTTTTGCTTAAGATTTGAGAAAAGCGATGTCTCAAGCCGGCACGTCGCAGTTCCAGGAAGTCATTCGGCAAGAGCTGGAATATTCAATGAAAGTAGAACTTGATAAGATACTTGCAACTGCACCTTCAAATGAGCTGGAGGTAAGGAGGAAAATGAAGGCACTCCGAAGCATAAGAAATTAAATGTAGGAAATTAAAGTGAATTTTATAGAGGGAGATAAATCACAGAATACTGTAATCCGTGTTTTTGCAGTGTGCTCTGAGCCTGTGTGGAAAAGTAGTCTGGGTACAATGTCAGTTGGAGACTTCCAGTTCCATGCAGATGGGTGACAGAGTTATTACTAAGCGTTTAATCATCTTTGGCTATTTAAGGTTCTATAGAGTCTTTAATGGATTATAGAAGGGGACGGTGAAGTTGTTCTAAAGATTGGGTTGAATTCTAATTTAGTGCTACAGTTTTGACTAAAGAATGGTATTTTGGGTGTCCGCATTTCTTTTAGCACCTTGAGTTTTAAGTGGAAATGGTTGTAGCCTTTGGTTAAATGTTAACATGCCTGTACTTAAGTGCTGACAAGATTTTTCTTGTGACTGGATTGTACATCAAGTTTATAGAGAGAAAAAAAAAAACTCATTAAAAAGATAGGCATGAAACACCAATATTAACTAATGCATTTTTCTTTTTGTAGCACACAAAAAAAGACCTGGAAGGATTTAAGAAACTGTTTCATAGATTCTTACAAGAAAAGGGACCATCTGTGGACTGGGAGAAGATTCAGAGACCTCCAGAAGATTCTGTAAGTTGCAATGAGATGACACTCTTTGGAGAACATGAAATTGAGAATTGCTACTTGTATCAAATGGCGTAGTTACCATAGAGTGGATATAAAAATGGATATTGTGGTTCTTTACAATAATGTAGGACAACACTTTATTTTGAGCTCTCACTTTGAAAGATTTATTTATAGACATATGTTGTATGTGTTGCTGAACATCGGGTCCTACTTAACGTATGTATCAAGTTCTGTGGTGGTATGAACTGTTAAACTGTCCTTTGAGCACAGGAACAAATGGGACAGCAGCCATCTCGCCGTTTGGTACCTTCTCTGGAGTAAAGGATAACTTGTGTGAGAGGGGAAATCCGCAGGAGCCTCCCGGTGTGCGGAACGCTCACGGTTCCCCTTCCCCTCCTGCCTGGGAAGGAGGTTGCACCTCTCGCACGAGATCGTTTCTGCAAAGCAGTTTGAGAGGGACATATGGCAGGTGGGCTGGGTTCTATAGCTCGCCTAGCAATTCTATACAGCACTTCAAGAAAAGCAGAGAATCTGAAACAAGTAGATGATGTATTTTTATTTTTATTTTGTTTTAAGGAGTATAGTTTTATAATGCTCTGCATGTTAGAACTTTTAACCTGCCATTTGAGATACTGCTGAGAAAGCACTAAATCTATTTTTTTCCCCAGTACTGTTTAGTACTGAAATAAACACTTTCAATTACACCTAACCTCGTTTTATTGATTCATCTGTGGCCCTAGGCTGTCTTTTGGCTCTTGCATAACTAAAGTTGTAGCTGTGCTATGAATTTTTGCTTTTCCCAATGTAGTGATCTTGGCATATTGTAGGAGTTCTGTGAGTTCCGTGTCCTTACACATTTGTGGTTTCTTTTAGCCTCTCTGTGGTGATTCAATCAAGGCTCTGTTTGCAACTGAAAGGCAGGCTTTTCAGTTACTTCCAGAACAGATGCAATACTAATCTCTAAAGCATTGAAGAATGATGCTGTTTTAGAGCAAGTCTAGGTTTGGGTTTTTTTTTTTTTTTCCCCAGGCTGAGTGTTTTCTTTTAACTTCAAAAGCGTGTGATGTGTCTCTCCTGTGCTCCTGTTCTCTACTGCATGAAGTGTTGCTTTGGGGAGAAAAATCCCCCTTAAATGAAGAGGGCAAAGTGAGAAGTGGGAGTTCTAGGTGACATGACTGAGGAGGCAGGCTGGAGGAAGGGGCACTGTGTTTAGGCTAGAGGGGCATGAGACTCCAAGGAGTGGTAAATCTCTTAATTATAAAAGAAAATTAGCTGCAGTAATGAAAGAAATGGTTCTGTTTCAAGATGAAGATAAACCCCGGGATTAAATCCCAGTAAGGTGATGCAGGTCAGTAGGCCCTTTTGAAGAGGAGTGCTCTTGTCCATTTTCTTTAATTTTGTGCACTTTTCAATGGGAAAGCTTAAGGTAGCTAACAGAATGCAAACTATCTGGTTAGACATTGGGAGCAACTGTCAAACAGGAGGCATAACAAGGCATTAAAGTAGATTGGGAGATTCCATAACCTCCTAGACAAGGCTTTTTTGTTTTGTTTTATTTTTTTAAGAAAAAAAGAACATATGTGGGGAATGGTTTAGATAACAGGGCTGTAAAGAGATCAAGATTAGAAAGGGAATAGCTCTCCTTTCTGGCCTGTGTTGTCTTACTCTCATTCCAGTACAGTTTCCTGGACAAAGTGCAACTTTTAAACTTCCTGGGTTGATGGGAGGAGTGGGTTGAGTAGTTTCAAAACCTAAGAGCAAACCTGATCTCCTTGAGATATATATTTTTTAATTTTTTTTCTCACCACAAGAGTTCGGTTTTCCAGAAGCCTCAATTGTATTTATGCCTGCTTTCTTCCCGCTGTTTTAAATATATAAATCATGTAGGTATGTCCTGGGGAAAGTGAAAACAGTTTTACACAAAACACTTTCAAGTGTTCTGCGAACTATCAAATTATTCTTTGCAGAGGAAATTATTAGAAATTATTAGGTAAATGTTGACTTCTTCCAGACCAGAACTACCCATCTTACTAGTAGATGAAAAGGGTGGGCGCTTTAAAATGAGAATTTTAAAAGGGCTTTGTACCAGAGTATAATACTGAGTCCTCTGGGGAGGACTGGTGGCCGCCTGTTGAGAATGTGCAGGTTTGGGTGTTTTTTGTTTGTTTTAACTTGAGCTCCCTTCCGCTGTGTCTAGTTGAGTTAACTCTTCCTTGTTGTAGAAGTCACCTGGAACACTCCTAGTCTTGTCAGGACAGCACAGCAGGACTTTGTGTTCTTCGAAAGTTAGTTGGTGATGTGACAAGTGGTGTGTAATTCAGAAGACCTCGTTTTAGGGACAGGAGAGGGAGGAGGGGAAGAGGGTTTTTCAGCTGCTTTTGAAAGTTCTTGAATTACAAATATGGGCTAGGAAGGATTTCCCCTTCCCAGTGTGAGGTTTTTGCCTACTATGATTTTGGGGAATTGGTTGGCTCTGTAATCTATCCACACTACTGAGAATTCTGGCATATATAAATTCAACTGATATCTGGTGGAGCTCAAAATGTAGACACATTTGTGGGTGTGTATACCTGTACATGTCTGTGTGTGTGTCTGTATATATATATATGTACATATTTTAGAAAAAAAACAGTCTAAAACATGACAGAGTTTAATAGGTTAATGTGTGTGAATGGCTTACTGCTCTTACAGGGCTTATCTTATAATCTTCTATTTTACATAAGGTACTTGGGAGCTTCAGGTTCAGGAGGAAAGGTGTTTCAGGCTTTTGCCCAATGACGATGCTGAATTTCTGACCAGGCTTCCGGGGTGACTCAGTTTGTTACCCATTGTACTTTTTCTTTCAATGTTGTCTTATGTGTGTGGCTTCTTTTTTGTTTTTTTTGTTTGTTTTTTCCCCTTCCTTGAAGCATCTAGGATTCTATGGAAGAATGAAAATAACCCTGAGAAATAAAAGCTCCTGTCAGAACTGTCAGTAAATTAAAATGTATGAATGACTGTATTGTAATGTTCCCTGCCCTCTGCAATGGGAGGTTTCACCCCTGATCTTCTCATTTTCATTGCAGCAATTAACACCAATGGGGAAGCAAGTTGTAGGCTCCAGACAAGGATAACAAACAATTGAAGCCATTTCATGTTATATTCACAAACTTCCAACCTGTTTTTCTATACAGATGCTTTCCTTCCAAATGCCCAAACACTCACAGTGATAGCAGGCATAGTTAGAACTCTTTCCTGTTAGAGTCTTCAGAGAAGAAACTGTGTTTAATCAGAGGGCCATTTAACAAGGAGCCAGGGCAAAGAATGTGGACACGGCAAGTGTAATTTAATCCTGCAGATGCAGATTGCAGCAGTGTGTTTGAGCTGGAAGCAATAGCAAAGTCCTGCTGGGGGCCCTCCAGGGGAACTGCAGTAATCAAGCTAATCTCAGAATAGCAATGCGAGACTTCATCTAAGACATACAGGGAGCATCCCAAACAATCGGAGCGCAAGGAGCTGGCCTGTTAGAGGTGTTTTGTGGTTGCTTTTGCGTTTGGATGTTTGTCTGCAGCTCAAAATGTCATCTCGGTGAACGCTTTCATGAAGGAAAAGGAAAAAAATGGCAAACTCATACTGAAAAGCAGATTATCTTCCCAATCATTAACTTGGAAAATGGTTTTTAAGGTTAACTCGCTACTATTTCTAGAACTATCCTTTGGTGCTGAGTAAATAATACCTTGGTGCTTTGTTAATGTGTATTGATTAATGTGGGTGTTCTCATTCCCGTACGTCTGCTCATAATGACAGCCTTGTTACTCATTCTGTGCGTCTCCAGCAAACTTTTCCAAACCTCCTTGCACAAGGAGTATGCTTCTGAAGTTTGTTGGTCAAACTCCCAACGTTGCCTCATGGAAACTGCTCCAAAAATCCCTTCTGTGATGTTGTCTACAGAACCAAGCGAAGCTCGAGGTCATTTTAGAACAAGACATGTCTCGGATGAGTAACGCTGTAATGGAGCATCAATTCTGTCCTGCCTGCTTGTTTTTATTCCTGGAGTAATTCCCTATCAGCAAGTATATTCAAGCCCAGTATTCCGAATCCCGAGAGCAAAAATCAATTTTTATTACTGTGAAGCACTTACTTGTGTGTGTGCTTATAGGTAACGAGGCGGTTCTTCGGGTTTGTGCCTGCACATGACCAGAATTGCTGGATGACCATGTAGATATGCAGTAATACTGATGCTGCAAGGATTCTGCTTGCACTTGAGTTCTTTGACATTTATTGCTCTCTGAACCTTCAAGATCAAGGCCTTCATTGCCAGATTGTCATTTCCATTGCCTGTGCTGCAAGCAGCTGAAATATTTTGTGAGTCTGAGCTATAAATTTTGTGTTGTAGCTGATGCAACAGCAAATGAACTAAATCCTTGATGAACGACCTGTTAACTTCAGCTGGACCAAGCTTTTCCTCAAGCCTTCTGCATAAGCCAGTTTCAGACATGACAGCAAAGGCACAAAAGGGTAGTTGGCACCTAGCAAAAACAAATTATTTTGGGACAGTCTGATCCTTAAATGAAAAGCAGGTTTTTGTCTTTTTGAAGAACTCTGAGTAATGCAGCGAGAGCGCAGTGAGCTTTGAAAGATGAAATCATTCTTTTGGCTTTTCCAGCAGTGCCTGAACGTTGTGGGGGTGACTTATGTCCCACCAGCTGGAGTTCAAACCTGAGCGTTTTAAATGTATGGATCTTACAGTGTGTGCAGGAGACGGTGGTGACGGGGAGCGAGGATCTAAGCATGAGCTTTTCTGGCACCAGGTACAATTTGCCGTAGCTCCTGTTTGTAGTGAATTGTCCTTGAAGCTCTCTGATGAGTTTATACCTTCAGCACATTAAAATTGGCAAATGTAGATTAACAGCATGTAGCTACTCTTACGTGTGAGTAACTAATCTCAGTATTGGCCCTGGGGAGGTAAGTGTTGGTGTGTAGGGGCTGGTAGCAGGTAGTGTAGGTGTAGCATAAAGGTGTTGGTACTTGGGGTGACAGTCTCTTTAGGCAAGAATTGAAAGAATGTGTCTGTGCGTGTTAGTGCCTCTTGGTGCTCACTTGGAATTGGATATTTGCCCTCAGTTCCTACATTCATGACCCCTCATGCTGTATCAGCTGTCCCTGCCTTTTTGACAAATCGGTACTCGTAACCTTCAGGATTTTTTTAACCTCTGTGGTTTATTCAGATGTATCCTGCAGCACTGAAATGCTGTATTCTATGTCCTGCCTCTTGCGTTTATTCTGCGTGTTTCTATTTGAAAAATGTAGCAGAATAAATGGGCTGTGGACTGAATAAACTAAACTATGAGCAGATGGTATTCCTGAACGGATATGCATTTAGAATGAGGTGCACTGCGTAACAAAACTCCTTTTCTGCTTGAATTTTGCATATTCTGCAAACCTGTTTATATCAAAGATCCCTGCATAGTACTAGAAGATTGCTAAAGGTTTTTCTTTCATGTAGTATCTTCATCTGCATCTTGTCGATGGAGAAGTGAATGAGATGGAGGGAACTTTCTGTTTTCTCATATGCTACATGACAAAAGTTTCATCTCAGTTTGCCATGCCTTTTTTATTCTTTAGCCTATAGAATTGTACTTTATTGTAAAATAAAGTGGTGTCTGAAACTGTTTTTAGGAGCGTTTAGCTCAATGGTGAGAAGGGTGTTGTGTCCAGCTGCAACTGGAGTTGCTTGGACATTCTGCAGCTTCCCCCAGCTGTAAATCTGCACCCTTGCAGTGGATCTCAGCTGGAGAGGGCCTGTTCTGTGGAGCGCCAGCCCCTTGGCTAGGGCACTGTCTTCAGAGCATCCTGATGTGCTCCACAAAATACAGCTTCCACGCAGGAATGATAAAGTTTTAGTTTTTGTTTACCGTGAAGCTTCGCTTTGAATAAGCTTCATAATCGTACTTGGGAAAGGTACTGTTTGCACAACTTAGTTTTTCTATTTCCTCATGCTCTCAGTAGCTGACTTTTCCAGCTGTCCTTGCTTAGGACTTCAGTGTTTTCAGGGAAGCTTATTCCAGTAGAAAGTGTGTAAGTGTGTGTATGTGTGAGGGGGGTGTGCACAGCATATGCTATGTATATGATAAGCTATGTATGTGTTTTCTTTGCTTTCTTTTTCAAATATTACCATATCTCACTTCCTGGAAGAAATGAGCTTTTCAGTTAAGTTGTAAATAAAACAACTCTGCAGACTGAAGGCTTTCTCTGTCTTCATTTCAGCTGAATAACTCTATTGCCAGCCATAAGTTTCCTGATGAAGGGCTGTAGTGTTCCTCTCACATAAAGTGCTTGTGTGGGCAATGTGAAATGGTCCTTTCTGAGATGGGTAGAGCAGGCCCTTGTAGGGAGTAACTGTGGCACTGTTTTTAGCCAGGTTCTCCCAAACTTAGTAGCATGAAAAGTTACTATGTGTTCAACAGTTATTGTTCAGACACACAGCAAAAAACTCTGTTGGATGTGGGAGAAAAGTGAAGTCTCAACTGAAAAGTTTTCTAGCCTGGTTTTTGATTTCTGCAAAAGACAAGAGATTGCTCCTAAACACTCAGACAAGCCAATGCTCTGGGTGGGCCTCAGAGGATGGCTGTTCTGCCGACCTGAGATGGGCCAACCCAAATAAAAAGGTATTTTGAGACGCCGGGCTCGGGGAGTTTAGGGGCTGGACCTCAGCAACCTCATCTGTCTCCTCCTGTATCCTTGATCCAGGATAGGAACGTGTGTAGGTTATTAATAACGAACGGTGCTGTCGCTTAAACCACAGCCTTTTCGGTGAAGGACGTGGGATACCTGTAGCTAACTAGCTAGTTAGCAAGGAAGGAGCCTGCTTTTCATTTGCAGTCCAAGGCAGCAGAAATCCACTGTGCTCATTTTGTGTAACTTTTATAGGGATTACTTGGGACATGTTATTGTCTAAAAATTGCTGTTTTCTTTCATAATATTATACTATGGAGGGAAAATTGAGAAGCTCTGTCAAATGTTTCTGACACCCTGGACCTCGTTTGCAAGCTGCATCCCTTGGGTCTGTGGATGACACTGTGGTGATGTAGGTACATTTGTAGGGATCAGCGCTCTGCTTTTCCAAAGGTTAGGATTCAGGCTAAGTCTAAGCTAAAACAAATTTCCCCTCCCCTCCTCTAGCAATCCACATGGACTTTAGTGACAAATCTTTGTGGTAATTAAACAGCATAATGTTTCTTATGGAAGTATTCTCTGTTGGTTGAATGGAAAACAGCATTCCAGCATTCCCTGCTTGCTTCTATCAGTTAATCCCTTCCTCTAGGGAGAACCTGGGCAGGCGACTTGAGCCGTGCTAACTCCGGGTTTACCTTCTAGCTGCCCTGCTGAAATACAGTCTGTTCACTCTGTTACTGTGATTTAGTTGGAAGGTTGTAACTGAAGTGCATGTGTGTGTGTATATGTATTTTCCCTGTTCTTACTGTTATAAGCCAAGTCTGATTTGTTTTGCACATAAGGATAACTTCAGCTCTCAGGGTAGTGCCTTGCTCATAGCACTCTTCAGCTGTGTGTGCTAACTCGAGAAGATCTGATGCAGGGAGCCTCTTCTGCTTTTGGAATACAGATGGAGACATAGGGTTTGTTCCGAACTACTTCCGTAGGTGAAAATGCAGAATATTAACAGTTAAGAGCACAGAGATGAAGACACTTAGGTCTGGAATGTGTTGGTTGGCTGCTGTGGGGTCCTCAGCAAGTCTGGAGGTTCTCTCTTAACCTGGGGAAAGCACAGAGAGGGGGTACATGGCACTCCTGGTTTCTCTTTATGTTTGGAAGCTGAAGAATCACACCTGCCTGAAACGAGCAGGAGCTTTCCTGGTAAAGTATCATTTGTGCAGAATGTAGCCCTTAACAATTTTGCTTTAATGCATCTTTAAGTAGGCTTATTTGTCCAAGATCATCATTTTACTTTTGTATCTTTGCTTTGATGCGTATATCACAAAATACTCCAAATCCCACGGAATCAAAAATGACATCAGAACATACACTTCTGTGTTCAATAGGCTAGAGTGTTTCAGTGGGGTATCTGTACTATTATACGTATTTAATATGTTTGTGTGTGTGTGTGTGTGAGGTAGTAGGTGTTTCAAATTAATTGCCTGCTTTTTTAGAGTATGTATCTTGTGCAGTGGGAAACTCTCCGCACTGGGCTGAGTTGAAGCGGTTGCATCAAGAGGCCCCTCGGAGCAGTGCGAGTTTCTGCTGTGAACAAGCAGAGTTCAGTTACTGCTGGTGCCACAGCTCGCGGGACGAGCTCGCCTTGCATATCCCATCCGTAGTCACCACCGCCTTTCCGGGCGCTTCCCAACGCCGGGAATCTGCCCTCTGCGCCTTAGGGCCGGGCTGGAATTGCGCAAACTCCCCCCTCTGCCCCCGCGCATCCGGGTGAGAAATCCCAGCCTTGCTCCCGCCTAGCGTGGGTTTCCAGTTGCAGCCAGCCGGGTTTGCCCACAGCCAACACGGCTTGGAAAGCTCCTCGGGATGGAGCTGCTGTGTGAGCAGGACCAGAGCAGCGTAGGAAGAGCTGGAAACACTCGTCCTCAGGGCAGCTCCGCGCTGGGAGAGAGGGGATAGTGCACTGGACTGGTAACTGGAGTAAAAAGTCACTTAGAGTCAAAGAGCCACCCTTCTTGCTGAAGTGTTTCCTTTAATGACACTCAGTGCAAATGCCAAACAGTGCTGCGGGTTGAAGCAGCGTGAGGAGGAGACATGGTGCTGCCTGCTTGCCTCCTCCCTGCATTGGGGAGGAAGCTGGTGGCCACGGCGTTGATGACGTTGTTCAGGAGAAGATGTGGCTCCATGTGCGCCCGGCTGTGGCACGGTGCTGTCACGGGTGTGCCAAATCATGCTAACAACTGTGGGTATTGCTGTCCAGTTTAGAGCTCGGAAGGTTTTCCGGAGACGGTGACTTCCTAGCAAACGCCTGAACGCCTCCCGCTGCTCCTCTCTTGCAGATCCAGCCCTACGAGAAGATCAAGGCCAGAGGGCTGCCCGATAACATTGCGTCTGTGCTGAACAAGCTGGTGGTCGTGAAGCTCAACGGCGGCCTGGGCACGAGCATGGGCTGCAAAGGCCCCAAGAGCCTCATCGGGGTGCGCAACGAGAACACCTTCCTGGACCTGACGGTGCAGCAGATCGAGGTGCGTGGCCGTGTCCCCGGACACGGGGCACCGCATGGCACCGAGGGCTCCGCTCCAGCTCCTCCAGGCTCAGCTTTTTGGAAACTTTAACACAGCCTAGAAAAAAGCTCTTTGCTGTAGCTTAGAGTTCCAGCTCTAATTAAACCCCTCATCTTAGAAGTCGTTGCTGGGATTTCCCTCTGTAGAAAGAGAAGTAAAAGAGAACAACAGCCGTCGGTGCTGGGAGACCATCACACCTTATGTTCCTAGTGCAGAATGCTCCTCTTGCAGCAGATCATTAAGCTGGTCATTAGAGTAGGAAATTGGCTGCATCTGTTGTGCAGTTTCTGGGACTCGGAGCATTTTGCCCCAGGGTGTTGGGGTGTCTCTCCCTGCTGTGGGTTAGACCCTCCTGCACAAGAGGGGGATCAGCAGGAGCTAGGGCAGCTCTCCCGGGGTCACGGGGTGGTCTCTCTGAAATACCTCTGTGGTATCTTGCTTTCACATTTCAGAATCTTGATGTGGGTTTAAAAACAAAGGTTATTTATGCAGTAATTAATGTAACCCTTATCTTTTACTATTTACAAGGATTTGTTTTCCTTTACTTGATTTATTATCCAACCCATTGGTAAAAGAACCTCTTTCCTGTGACAATTTGGCAAAACGAACTGGAAATAAAAAATGCATTCCTGTCCTCAAAACTAGTAAGGTAGCAGGATTGAAGGTAAGAGCATGTGCTCACTTTACCATTTCTCTCCCATTTCAGCATTTAAACAAAAGCTACAACACTGATGTTCCCCTCGTTCTGATGAATTCCTTCAACACTGATGAAGACACCAAGAAAATCCTGCAGAAATACAGTCTCAGCCGTGTGAAAATATATACTTTTAATCAAAGCAGGTATCAAAAAATGTCTCTGCTCTACCTGGGGTAAAAGGAAGGCTTTGCTTGCTCTTCCTCACCCTGCCAGGGGTGGAGGGTGCAGCTTCAGAGGACTGGGTGGTAGTGGTGTCTTGTTATGCTGCTGTTCAAGCTCCTTTTGGGGTGGACTTGGCATGATTGTAAAGTCAGAGCAGTTGGAGAGAAGGGTGAGGGAAGAGGCACCTTCGCTGCTGCCTTTTATTTAACCCGATGCCACCCTGGCCCTGGGGAGAGCTTAACCAAACCCTTGCCTTCCAGGTACCCTAGAATTAACAAGGAAACTCTGCTGCCCATAGCCAAGGATGTGTCTTACTCAGGAGAGAACACGGAGTGCTGGTACCCCCCGGGCCACGGCGACATCTACGCCAGCTTCTACAACTCCGGCCTGCTCGACAACCTCATCGCAGAGGGCAAGGAATATATTTTTGTATCCAACATAGATAACTTGGGTGCCACCATGGACCTTTACATTCTTAACCACCTTATGAACCCGCCCAATGGGAAACGCTGCGAGTTCGTCATGGAAGTCACGAACAAAACGAGGGCAGACGTGAAGGTAAATACAGGCACTGTCTGAATGCCTTGCATCTTGGAGGAGTCTGAACATCTTGTCTCTTCTGTATGCATGAATTCAGACATACTTTCCATCTTCTTATAGCTATTTCAGGCACTATTTAACACATCAGCTGTGATCTAATTCGAGATGCACAAAATCAGCAAGTTTATGAGGTTCTAATTCATGGAACAAATTGGATCTAGGTTCTGGGCAGCAGCCGACAGCGAAAGCCTGGGCTTTACTTGTGTTTTTGGTGAGGAGCCCTTTCTGCAGGGCGCAGGTAGCGGCGCTGCCCTCTCTGCAGCCCTTTAGTGAGGGGAAGCCCAGGGATGCGGAAGGCCGGAGGGAGGGACGGGGCAGCCGGCCCTGGGCTGCAGCCTGCGCGTGGACGGGGCCGCTGCTCCGCGTCCTGCCCTCGCTGGCTCCCTGTGAGGTCCCCATCTTGGTGACTTGGCCCATGTTCACAGCATGCGGATGCCACCCACACATAGGGATGTGTTGTGTGACACTCCTTTGAACGTGAGCATGGTGGGGGCACGTGCAGTTTTCTTCCTGTCCATTACACATTAAGAAAAGTCTGACTTGGTCCCACGCATCCCCAGGGGTGCAGTATAAAAATACAGGGCTTCGTCCTTGCCTAGTGCAGCTTGCTGAGGCAACACTCGTTTCTCCAGCGAGTGCCACAGCATCTAGCAAGTTCTGCTGAAGGTCACTCCTAAACCACAGCGCCTTCCAGCGACACTCAGCAACTGCCACCCAAGGGCCAAACTCTCTTTAGTACTTGACAGTTCCGACTGACTACAGAATATGTTTGAATAACAGTAGCCTGGCAGCTGAACCCAGGCCCCCACTGTGGGTTAAATGGTCAACAGCACCAAAGGAGCACGCAGGAGAGCAGCACCTCAGCTTTGTTCTCATACCCCTGCAGGGTGGGACGCTCACGCAGTACGAAAACAAGCTGAGACTCGTGGAAATAGCTCAGGTTCCAAAAGCACACGTGGATGAGTTCAAGTCCGTGTCAAAATTCAAAATATTCAATACGAACAACTTGTGGATTGCTCTGTCTGCAATTAAAAGGCTGCAAGAGAAAAACGCCATTGACATGGAGATCATTGTGAACCCAAAGGTAAGCGGAGAGGAGGGTTTCCCAAAAGCCCTGCTCGTTCCCGGGTGCCTGGGCAGCGCCTGCTGCTCCCGGCAGGGAGCCGGGCACTCGGAACGGCGGCGCTCGGAGCAGGCCGGGATCCTGCTCGGAGCGGTCCGTCCGCTGGCCGCGTTCACACAGGCTTTCCCTTCCAGACGCTGGATGGAGGCTTGAACGTTATCCAGCTGGAGACGGCCGTGGGGGCTGCTATCAAGAGCTTTGAGAACTCGCTGGGAATAAACGTCCCTCGGAGTCGGTTTTTGCCCGTTAAGACCACGTCAGATCTCTTGCTTGTGATGTCCAATTTGTACAGCCTTAACGCCGGCTCCTTGACCATGAGTGAGAAGCGGGAGTTTCCGACGGTGCCGCTGGTCAAGCTGGGAAGCTCTTTCACAAAGGTAACCTGCTCGAGTAGCACTTGTTGTTTCCAGCTTTCACAGGCTGGAAGGAGGTTTCCTTTACCCCTCTCGACATTCCTTTTTGCTCCCTCTAAATAGACTGCTTCCTGTCTGGACATAATGTCCTGCTCTTACCCTGTGCTCCTGCACCCTGACAGTCCAGGGAGCAGAAGGGGGACTTGGCTTCTCTGGAGCTCTCCCACCCTTCAGCCCTCACTCCTGTCATTGCTGCTTCTAGCTGTAGGTACCCCTGACAGAAATGACTGTATCACACTGCTTCCCCAGGAGCAACCTTTATTTTTGGCAGAAGAGATTCCCTAAAGTAGTTTTCAAGACGCTCCTATGCTTCTCTTAGCCCACACATGGTTTTAAAACTGTCCCTGTTCTTTTCCATCCCGAAAAGGTTCAGGATTACCTGCGGCGCTTCGAGAGCATACCCGATATGCTGGAGCTGGATCATCTCACCGTGTCAGGTGATGTTACCTTTGGCAAGAATGTGTCATTAAAGGTGAGCATAAACCGTGCGCCACGTGCATGGACACGATTAATCCCTGCTGCGCTCAGAGAAAACTGATCCTTGGTCAGCCTTGGTGCAGCGTCAGCGGGAAGCAGCAGCCAGAGCAGCGCGGGGAGGCCCAGGCTGAGCAGAGCCCCGCTGCAGCCGGGGTGACGCTGCAGCCGGGGGTGGCGCTTGGCCTTGGTGGGGCTGCAGTGCTGCCCTGCGTCAGGACGTGCTGAGGAGGGTAGGACTTTTTTTTTTGCACCCAAGAGCAAGGGGCCCTGATAGGAGCACCCCCAGCAGCCACCAGTCAGCTCAACTGCTACTTCACAGTCAGCAGGCTGGTAATTACAGCCTGTCCGTGATTGCTGTTTTAACCTTTTTCATGCAAAATATTACCTGTCTGCCAAGACAAGAACTCGGTCCAAGTGCACGCAGGCGCCAGCTGCGTTAGAGCTGGAATCAAACCAGTCTCCTAACCACACATAATCTTGTTCCATTCAAGTTGTCAATTCATAGCAAGCAAAGTCTCTAAATGCTCATGTTCTTCTCCCAAAATCTAGGGAACTGTCATCATCATTGCAAATCACGGTGACAGAATTGACATCCCCGCCGGAGCGCTGCTAGAGAACAAAATTGTGTCTGGAAATCTGCGGATCTTGGACCACTGAGTGAAAGGGCCTGCTCAGCTCTGCATCCTACTGTGCTCAACCAGCCCCCTCCGGGAAGACCCTTTTAAGCATTAGAAATAAGTACACAGAGGGCCTCTGCCTTGTCATCTTCACAGTACCGCAGTATTAATTTAAAATTAATTTCTCTCGCTTATCTTTTTAAGCAGCCACATAGTGCAAAGGATGTGTGTAAGTAAGTAAAGCTTCAGTCCTCGAAGAGCTCCTGTCCCTCAGTTATTAGACGCTGGAAGTGCAATACTGTTTGCCTGGGGGGGTGAGGAGCGCGGCGGCGGCCGCGGGTTCCGCGTCGCT